TACATACATACATACATACATACATACATACATACATACATACATACATACATACATACATACATACATATGTATGCACGTAGAGGAATATTCACATCATAAAGGAGATACGGATCTACTCCTCGTCGCCCTCCAAATTTTTACTCACTTCGCGCTACTTAAGAAGAGATTCTGTATGTGGATTGTACACCATGGTTTCACCAACACATCCAACAGAAATCACTGGGAACTGCTCCCTGAGCATAATGAAACATTGATAAATCAACGCAAAGAATCTGGGAAGTAAACATGCTCAACCCGCGTACATAACCGTCAATCGCCTCAAGAGTGGATTCACAAGGAGCGCCAAGTAGCACAAACTATTCGGTATACTTATGTTGTAACCTCAATTAAATTGTTTGTTCGCCATTTCAAGGATCGCATTTTCATCATTGTGCATGTTCTTACTGGCTTCATATCGTTGTTCGAACGGAAAATTGAGGAAAGCTTGAACCAGCGACGTAACACGAAAAAGCACTATGGACTTCAATTTTAACTCCCGTGATGAAGTACGAATAAACGCATCGATTCAAAAACATTCTTACTACATACTGTAACGCGCACGCGTCTGTCTGCCTGTCTTTGTTTGTCTGCTACGAAATTCGATATAACCTGTAGAATTTGTGTGAAGTTTGTGATGGGTTGGGCATAGAGCAAGATCAACAGAGCGCATGTGACATCAACGGAGCTTCGCTCTTGGGTGCGGGACATGTACAGGCGTGTGCGGTACGATGCGCAAAACATCTAATTTGGGCGTCTGCGCTGCTAGGTTCCATACGGCGCAGACGCCCGGAAAAATCAGCAAACAGGAGGGATGGATCGACAAATGAAATGGAGGAGACTTTCTCACCCTGTCGAAAAAAGTAGAATACCTTAAATGAGAACCTTTTCCTTGGAACATGCATATAAAATATCTGTTGTGGATTGTAATGAGCGAAAAAGTGCTGACCTCCCTTTCTTCTTCTGGTACCACTCTGCTATCCAAAATGAAGAAATTACAGCACGGTTTCTCCGGAATGATTTTCCTAGAAGAACAGCAAAGAGTGATATGAGTAGTTTCGCTAAGCGCTAAGACGACTAACCACGATGTTTTGAAGGAAGGAACATCGTCGCCAGTAAAACTTCTCAGATGCTCCTGTGTACTTAGCTGGAAAAATTGTCTTAGTCACTACGGTGAGCTATAGTCGACAAACTATGCTTTTTCAACGATCACTTTATAGATTTCGTATGACAATGAGTGAAGGCGGCATTGTGGAATGTGATAGATACCTATCACATGCATGGTCCTGGAATCGAGCCGTTCATATACCGATTGCCGCCAGGTTTTTCATCCCTTCCTGGTTAATCGGTACCAAACTTGTCAGGGAGGATAAAAGCACAGACCTTTACATCGGCTGGCCACCTCCAACTCACTACATAGGCCAATTCGCATTCAAAGCACCACTAAGATTCGAAATGTAAGTCGAGTAAAAGGGTACGAAGAGGGAGGCATCGCTGAAACGGGATTATCGGCAGAAGACTTCATCCTTTATTTTCACTTTGGCAACAACTACATTATAAAACGACCAGTTGGGTCGCCGGGCTTACAGCCTCATTAGCTGCTTTCAGACTTCAACGTCACTACCGACGAGCGAGCGTGCGAGCGCGCGTCCACTGGCGCGTGATCCATCGGCGTTCAGTGTTGTCGAAATATGGCCAGCAATACGTCGGTCGTCGGTTGGGTCGTTGAAGTCTGAAAGCAGCCATTCCTTATTTCTCCTTAGAAAATATAGTTAGAAGGAGGCATCACTTTTATCTAACGTTAAGGATAGAGGACAGAGAAGGAGTTGTTGTCGACCATACCTGTGCTTAGAGACGTTCCAGGCGAAAGCACACAGTTTCTACTCAAGCTCTCGGAGGAGAGGAGCGCTGAGGTGCTGGTGAGATGATTACATCGTGCAAAAAGCTAGAGTGGGGTATGAGTTGAATTTCCATTCGACTCATCAATCCCTGATGCTTGAGTCAAAAAACTGTACATTCTCCGCTAAGAAACATTCCTGAACACAATTATGGGCTAACCTCATTATCTGCCCTCTAGCGTAAGGTGTTGAAAAAAAAGCGGACGCTTCTGAACTACATTATCACCTCCGATTTTTGTATAGACATGCATAGCACGAAGCAGGACAGATCATCGGAATCTTAGTTTTGAAGCACCCACTCAACTACTAATCACTCCACTCTACTTCACTAACCTACCCACCGAATTACAGCTTTACGAGTAAGAAAGAAATGCAGAATAGAGCTGGGTTTTCTATATTACTACCTCTACCTTTACCATGAAGTTCCGCCGACGGGCAGACAGACAAACTGATAAACACACAAATCGCACCAAGTTTCTGCTTCACTAAATAATAAGAGGATTACTGAGTTCACTGAGTTCATTCATCACATATCAGGTTCATCCAACAACCTCTCCTATTTATAAAGCAGTAACTTCGTGTATAGGTATGTCGGTTTGTTGGTTTGTGTGCTTGTCTGTCTGCCCGTCCGTGAAATTCATGATTACGATAAAGGTTGTGTTATTGACAACCCAGCTCTATTCAAGCGCTCAAGAGAGGTATACAGTGCGTTTTATAGTTATATGGTCACCACTGGCAGATTCCTCGTCGCAATGTACCTCCGTATTCAAATTTTGGCCGCAATACCCTTCATCTCAACTCTTTCATGAATTTTTTAACCCTTTGACGATAGCGCGGCTCAACGGTGAGCCACGGTTTTTTGGACGCGCGGAACAACGCAGCTCAGCGGGAAACATTGTTAATTTCTGAAAACTACTAACAAATTCAATTCTCTCCTTGGAAATCACACTTCTTGTGCATTTTTTGAAAACAATCAACGTAACAATGACTTTCACAACTGCTGCCCCTAGAATTGACACGTCTTGTAAGGACGTGTTCACTTCCTTCCATAAGCTCGAGATAGTTGTTTGTAACAAATTTTCTGAAAACCTGCCCTCCTTTTAACTGTCTCGACTTTTATTAGTATTCCTGCATTCCTTTTCGACTTTTCGAGTGTCGGACAAGTGGGTGCAATGTTCCAATAAGTCATTCACTAGCTATCGGTACAAAAATGCATTCCTTGATTCAAGAGTCCGTCCATTTGCCCATGACAGCATCTTGAATCTTAACTAAATCCTAGCCCCCATATGTAACACCTTCAAAGCATAGCTTGAAAAGTTTTATTCTTTGGTTCTATTTTCGTCGGATTCGACCAATAATCTTTCAAAACCACCCTCTAAATCGTCCACTGCAGGCTGATCCATTTCGACTCCCAAAGCTATATTATACATGAAACCAGACCTTACTGAAGTTGAGAACTCATAATTACCGAAATTACACCTATTTCAGACTGAATCATGAAAAAACGCTCGAAAAAAGCAAAAAATGCCCACACTGGAAAAATGTATCAACCGTGGAACAGCGCGGCTCAATGTTGAGCCGCGGAAGCGAAAAGCTTCGGAACGCGTCTGTCCCGCGCGCCAGACACGCAAAAAGTCGCGTTCGTCAAAGTGTTAAAGATGGTGTCGGTTTTTACACCGTTTCATAATTAAAAGACCACCCTAAGAAAGTGTATGATTTGTTAATGTTGATGGCATATATACAACTATTTATAATCTATAGTTCCTCCTTGTATAAGAGCAACATCAAAAAGCCTGCGTGGCATACTATAGAAACCGGGTTTCGAACGTGTTCCTCACCGATTGCTCTCCATGCTTCGATATTCGCCCGCTAGCTCTTCTGTGCTCTGGAACTGACGGTTATTAGCATAAAGCTGCCTGACTGTTATTCCCCAGATGTTTCCCATCGGATTGAGATCGGAACTGCAGGCTGGCCATGGCAGGACGCTTATGTTCTGGCATTG